TTTATCTCTCTCTCGCACTATGTCTCTCTATGTCTGTGTGTCTTTTTTTTAATCAATAATTTAATGGAACACACATGTTCTACATCATAAAAACACACAGATGGCTAACGATGGCTGTTAGAAAATGTAGCTGGGACTTAGGGTGTATCACAAACCTGTCATTTGAGATGGACCATAATAACCTTGTCATTGTACATAATAACCTTGTTGTTTCTGGTGTGGGCTTACAGGAACACACAGACATGCACACATATTGACAGGCACATGCACACACACATGCATAGAAAGTCAGACTCGCACCATTTCTTCTTATTAGAGTCTTATTAATGGATGAACGGAGGATGAATCTTGTGTGTGTTGTCGTCCAGGTGAAGCGGGTGATGAACGGGGTCTTCCAGTCCCTGAGGGGTCAGTTCCAGGTGGAGGAGTCCTACCCCGGCCAGGTCGTACTGGGCCTCATCGTCTCCACCATCAAGGTACTGGCCTCTCAGATCACAGTAGGGCTGCAGATCATTTTTTGGATGAGTCATTTAGTCTAAAAAATGTCATAAATAATTGCAAATGCCATCACAAGTTACCAGAGTTCAAGTGATCTTGGAAGTGATTTGCTTGCTTTATTGGACAAGCAGCCAAGAAAAACTAAAGTATTCATTTTATGATCCATGAACCGAAATAGAATTTCTGAAGCATCAAGCAGCAAATGTTTGGTATTTGTATTTGATAAATGACCTAAACAATGAATCTATTATAAAATTTTAATTAGATTCATTTTCTGTCAATTGACTAATCGACTAATCGTTGCAGCCCTTGATCACACATTAAATGGAGTTTAAACCATCTTCATACAGACACAACTCAACACCGATATCAAACGAACTATTCCAGAACGCATAATATCATTACGTTTTTGATTATTGTTAACAAAATACCGTCTAGCCAAAAGATACTGGGTTCGATCCCCAATGTCTGCAGCCTAACCTGTAGGTATCCTTGAGCAATATGCCCCCTAACCCCTACCTGCTGCTTAATGGCCTGGTTAATGGTAATGGTATCTGAAAGAACATCACTTTGGATAAAAAGCATCTGCTGAATGACTAATAATACATTCAATTTATATAGCGCTTTTCAAGGTGATGAAAGACGCTTTATACAGAGACACAGGGCAAATGTAAGGTACATGAAGAAGATGAGTGAGGAGACATGAAAAGGGATGAAGGAGAAGGAGGCAAGGACTAAACATGGGGAAGGACTAAACAGTAAAAGTAATATTTCTGTGTGATTGCGGATGTTTCTAGAACGTGACTCTGCAGCTCCTCGGCGGCTCGGGGACACAAACGGTTCAACGCGGCCGGGAGGAGGAAGAGGAGGAGGAGGAGGAGGAGGAAGAAGAAGAAGAAGAAGAAGAACAGGAGGAGAAAGAGGAGAAGACAGAGGACAAGGAAGGTGATGTAAAACAGAGAGACGCCGCTCCGCAGGTGAATGGCGAGGAAGGAACGGAAGATGCAGAAGAAGAGGAGCAAGTGGCACAGAACGGAGATGCAGAAATGCAAGCGAAGGACGCTGTGTCAGTGGAGGAGGTCGTCACCATGGAGACGAGGGTCGCTGTGAGCCCGGGGACGCTGGCGGCGGTGGAAGAGGAGGAGAAGCCATCGAGAGCGCCAGAGTTGGAACCGACAGTGGTCCCTTCGACCAGTGCTCTCTCAGACAGACAGGACGTCATGACGAACCCGGGGGAACCGGAGCATGGACGGTTGTCAACTGGCACCGATCTGGAACCAAGCCCCGCCCCCCAGCAGAGGGAGGAGCATGCCAGTTCTCCAGAGACAGACGTGAGCTCCGGGGGTCCGGGGCTCACCCCGCTGGGGAGCGAGGTCATCGACCCTGCCTCCCCCCTGCTGGGAGGAGGAGGAGGCGAAGCAGGTGCGGACACAGAGGAGCCTCTGGGTGCCATCAGCATGACAACCGAGAGACGGGCCGGGCCGCCCACGCACCCCCCGCCCCCGCCAAACTCAGTCCAGGATGGCGCGAGGTAGGACTATTAGTTTAAAAATCTTTTGTCTTATTGTCACTTCCCCTCCCTCTAACCATGCATGCTTATCTTGCAATAATGAACGCTCTTAATTTGACGCTGTCCCTCCCTTGTATATATATATATATATACAGTATATATATATATATATGTATATGTATATGTATATATATATGTGTATATGTATATATGTATCTATATATATGTATATGTGTATATATATGTATATGTATATGTGTATGTATATGTATGTATATAATGTGTGTTTATCTACTTACTTGTTTACACACATCATATATAACATGTCTGTATTGGTACCTCTGTCTCATTGGTCACTCTTTCACCCTCCCTTCCCCCCTCCTCACCTTTCAATGGTTTTCACCCCCTCCTCTCACCTGTGCGCCCAAACACGTGTGTATCACACACACGCGCACACACACACGCCTGTACCACCTCCCCCTCAGTCTGTCTGGCGGTCTTGGTGAGGAGGAGGAGAAGGAGAAGGAAGAGGAGAAGGAAGAGGAGTTTTTCCAGAGCACAGTGATGGCCAACCCGACGCAGCCACCACCCAAACATCAGGAGGAGGAGGAGGAGGAGGAAGAGGAGGAGATGGTAAGGAACCATCTGTAGAGCTCTGTATGAGCTCTCAGATTACACAATACCCCCACAGCACTAACCGTCCCCCCCTCCCCTCCCTGCTACTTACTTGTGTTTTGTTGAGTTGCTACCGTCGTCGTTGAGCACCATAGCTTGTTATCAAACATTTATGTCTGCACTTGCATATTTTTTATTTTAAGTTTGATTGTCCCTTGAGTGTCTTTTTTAAAATGTGATCCCCATCTATTTAAAGCCCTCTGAATGGTCTTTTGTGTTTGAAGGCTGCTGTATAAATAAACTATCGATATGTTGGGGACCTAATGGTTAATAATTCATATTTCACATTCATATTTATATAGCACTTTTCTAAATACTCAACGACACGTTACATAATAACACATCCAATGCAAGAGTCAAGAAAACCAAACAAGCAAGGCACAAACTCCTCGTCTGGCCCTTTGGGGTCTTCGGGGGCTCCTTGGAGTCCCTTATGTCATGGTCATAACGTGTTTCCTCAGAGTCTGAAGGGCCGGCCGCCCCCCACACCGCTGTTTGGCGAAGATGACGACGACGCCGACGACCTGGACTGGCTGAGTTGAGGCGCGCCCAGCCAAGGGGGCCGCCGTGTTTTAATGTGTGCGTTTTATTTTTTATTGTTCCATCATGTGAGAGGAGCTACTCTTCAGGACGGCACTAAAGATGATAAAACGACTCCGGTTTCTCCCGCCCGCCTTCTTGTTCGGGGACGGTCGGAGGAGAACAGGCCGACGGAGTTGAGGTTAACAAGCGTGTAGTCCTCCACACAGTGAAGATGGAGGAAATACGATTGACGATTCTGTGATTGTGTCGAGTCTTTGGATGTCTTTAATTTGAATTTTTTAAAATCATTCTACTGTAGCCGACTATCTATTGATCCAGCTGCCTTTTCTTCTGGCAGCGAGGTCCAAATGAATTGTTTCATTTTCTGCTTTGTGACTTCAAAATCTTTTTAGCGACCCCTTTTAATTTTTCCTCATCAAAAACGCAATCTCGGAAATAAATGACATTGAACCTGAGACATCTGTCAGTGTGTTTGTGGTGTTGCACACATGGGAACTTTCCAGAAGCTTTGGGAGTACATTTTCATCATGAAAGATGAAACGCATTGTTAAACAATAAGGGAAACTAAACATGTGTCAGTTCAATGTTTTACATCACCTTAAACAAATGCATACACGTTCAACAGCAGAGGGAGACAAATACCCTCCCAAAGTGTCCATGTTGCCTTGCAAACGATACGGTTGAACCCCTATGGTCGTCGAGTAGCGGCTGTATTTTACTAAAAGTTAGTCAAAGGTCGCAGCGAATAAGGTAAGGTAGGCGACGCCACTAATTACACTATAATGTCTAAAATAAAAAACTAGTAACGACTTCCTATCTTTCGTAGGCTACTAGCTCATAGTTTATATCATATCAATTATGATCCCAAATCTGAAATGAACCAAACCGTCGCCTGCGGCCACGCTCCTTTTCTCTGCGCGCTGGGCACGGCGCGCGTGCACGAGAGACGCGCTGTGCGCGCGCCCTGCTGCTGGGAGCGCGAAGGGCGGGAAAGGCGCGGCGGCGCCGCTCTCCTACAGGGAAGAAAAAACGCATCTTTGGAGGGCAAGTAGGGCTTATAATGGCGTCTTTAATACCTTATTCCCGTGGTGGGCCTCAAACGACGCTCACAACGACACGGGCGTTTAATTAACAGGAGTAAATTGACATGCAGGTGTAGACTGTGTGATTGGTCGGGCAGTAGGCTAATTATGAGACCCCACCTAATCATATGTTCTTGTCTATTTAGTGTTAAATGTGAGTTAATAGTTGCTTAGTGAGCTAGCTAGCTAAAAATTTTAAATCACGATTTCAATGTTTTGGAATACTAACTTTAGTTTTCAACAGTGTAATAGGCTAACCATTATCTTGATACATTATCATTGTGATGATGATAAATATTATGAATAGTCTATGTATTATTGGTCGGTAACCCATTAATAAAGTACTTTGGGTCCCATTCAAGGGGCCACAGTGTTGAGTGTGAGGGACCGTTTAAAGGTATGGTTCTAGTTGTGTTTCCAGCTGGGTACAGGCCGGATCAGCCCGGTCCCAGGCCTGGAGGTCTGGTCCGGCCCTGACCTGGGTGCCCAGTCACTACTATGTCCCTCAGAACACAGGTATGGGCTGACGTGTGTCTCGGTCAGGCTTCAAATGGATTTTTAGCTCACGTAACACACATTTTTATGTACTCTTCAGTCATTTTAAATGACTGTGCGCAAGGCACGTAGTCATTTATATATTTAGTTATTGGTGCTTTTAGCCAACGTGAATTCACCTGTAGGATGCCTACAGGTGGACTGCAGACATTGGGTGTCGAACCTAGAACCGTTCGACTGGGAATCAGAACACCCTAACCACTAGACTCACCTGCCCACATTGCAAACTAATTTCTGTCAGTCGCCAGCCGCTTTTTAATTGTATTTATTTTGTTTTTCATGAGGTTTCTTTTTTTCCACAGAGAAAAACCTCCCCACGTTTCCATCAAAGAGGTGACGTGCGTTCCTTTCGCTGAGCTGAACCATCTATAAAGAAGGTAAACATGCGCTTCCTCCTGAGACAAAACAAGCCTTTAAAACCCAGAATCACCCTCACCTCTGACGTCATCCTGCGACCTCCCGCTGCAGAAAAGCAAACAGGAGGAGAAGAAGACGAAGAGGGTTAGCTTCTAGGAACGCAAGGAGGAACGCCTGGTCTTCACCAGATCAGGGTCAGACAACCTGGGCCGTCCCAGACCAGAGGACACCCCCCCTCCTCCCCCCCTTCAGTCGAACGGTGGTCTCCGACCCACACATTTACATTAACATATAGGGCATTTAGCAGACGCTTTTGTCCAAAGCGACTTACAATAAGTACATTTGTCAGTAAAAAGGAAAACAACAATATGCAATGTCGGTACAGCAGGGATGTCAATAGAACAAGTTTCTAAGTGCACCATAATAGCTAGGTTTAGCTATCCTTTCTGGTATATAGCATGGATAGCTAAGGTAAGATGCTATACAATGCTAAGTACTATTTAATTGCTAGGACATACGAACATACAATAAGTGTAAGAAGTTGTTTTTTTTGGGGGGGGGGGGGGTCACGTATCGGAATCACACAATTACTTATTTCCTTTTAGGACACATGAATGTATACATAAATGAATAGGCATGGCATCTTTATTTATAGCAAGTTTATTTATAGCACCCTTCAAACAAAAAGGCAGGAATCACATTTTAAAGCCGTTTAAAGATAATGCAGGTCAGTCATTTAAATGGGAGATGTAAAATAAAAGAAGATAAAATAATAAATATACCAGTGCAGCTAGATATTTTAATACAATAGCTGTGGCAAACAGAAAAGAATGTTCTGTAAAACCTTTCGTCATTGCTTATTTAGGTCCCAAGGTTGTCTTTGAATCCTGCCACGTAATGTACAGCACCCTGACGGCCACAGTAAAATATACATTACATAATGTACAGGACAGACAGTGAGTAATTTTCACCAATTCTTTCTACTTGACCTGACCACTTCCCCCAAAGATGGAAACACACTGTAATGTTGATTCACACTCCAGTTCAGCCCAGTGTCTGAATGAGCGAGGTAAAGACTAAATGACACAAAACTAGACCACATAGACCAACACAGATACCCTAATAATTGTAGCAAGATAAATGTTAACCTCAGTGACTAGTTGCCTTTTTCTCTTACTTGTTACTTTTGCAAAATCCAATTAAACTTCATGTTTTGTCCTGTACTTAAATGTCAAATTAAGCAAAACATGTAATTGGGCTTTCAGAATGCATCATTGGATTTTTTGTTGGCGATACTCCACCATATTGGGAGGACTCAAGAGAGTTATAGTGCTATAAAGTAAAGTAATAGTGCTACGTAAAGTAAATATACCGTAACCTAGGCTAATGAAAACATTGTTTTGCTACGTCTTGCATGAGAAATGCTGTAGCCGTTTCAAACAACAATTTGTTCCCATGTGACTTCCTGATGTATAAAAAAAAACCACAATGGAATTTGCTCTTGCCAAGTGGACATCTTGGATTTATTCATTTATCAGATGTTGATTTGGGTAATTTGCTGTTGGTGTAAGTGTTTATATTTAGTTTTTGTTCACAAGTCAAATGTGAGAGGGAAGACAGGAATGCCATGCACCGACATGGGCGCTGTTTTTCCCAGCAGTGTGAGCGTCACTGGCCTTTTTAACGCTGAGTACTGCTGTCGCACAACTCAAACAAACAGGCCGGCAACTTTACTGGTGCCAGTCAACAAAACGCTTTCTCCCTCTGTTGTGTTAGCAGTCTTATCACCACTGCTTGGTCTAGGACTTTTCAGGCGAAGGCACACCAACAATCCTGACCAGAAATTCATGCCATGCTTTCTTAGCTAAAGCTTGAGACAAATGTATTCTGCTTGTACAGATATGGTATGCTGTGATTCCGTGCGGCGATGACCAGCAAAGATGTTTGGGGACGGGATGCATCAGTAAAATACAAAAAAAGAAGCAAAGGCTAATTTACATTTTTCCTCAGTAGGTTGTCGCTCATGGCAAGTCAAGATAAAAAAAATACTTTACATTTTAATCGCTCATTGTTATAGGAATATATTAATATTAAATCCCACAAAATGACACAGCCCAGTGGTCTAGGATGTCTGAGGACTGAGCTGATGCTAGCTGTGGGCTAACCCTAGCACTGGCCACTCTGGCCAATGACAGTTCTAACACTAATGCTGGGGTTATGCTGGCATGATTAGCTAGGGGCTAAAGCTAGGTCTGATGCTAATGCTAGCTCTGGGCAAATGCTAGCTTTGGACTAACGCAAGGTGACCAGACATATTTACGTTTTGCCTATTATTTATAGTACTGTAGTAAAAGATTGGGCCCAATGGTTTACTATGATGTGTTTTAAACTTTGGTAAACCAGTCAAAAACAAGCCAAAGTAGGTGACTATGGGGTTCCTCGAATAGGGAATCGTTCTTTATTGTATCGTGCCTGCCTAGGTATAAAGTGGATAGATAGACCCCCACATAGCGAGGTTGTGTCACAGCCTATCAGATAGACATGAAACTAATTACCAACTGTGTCGAAATGAATATTCATGAGTAAGCTAGAAGAAAAATCTATTAATATTTAATTTAATTTTAAAACATTTTAAAGCCTATTTTTACAGCTCCAGCCGGGGACAGGCCACCAGAAACAGGGACTGTCCCCAGAAAACGGGGACGTCTGTTCACCCTCCCTCACGCTAGCTCCCGGGATAGAGGAGCGGGTCCCCTTGCAGCCGCCTGCTGGTTCCCTCCTCAGATCCCCCCTGGCTGGCTGGGTGGGTGCCAACGTGTCCTTGGGCAAGACGTCTAACCCCAGCTGCTCCCAGAGAGGTGTTTCTTGCGTCGCATGCTCGACAACGCTGCCATCAATGTGTGAATGTGTACCGCCAGGAGTGGCGGTTCCTAATGAACGTCTCATATTCCCCCTATTAATTTACGGAGGTGGGAAAATAAGGCGTCGTATCAATCCGATCCATTTACCGTTTACAAGCTGTGGTTTCATTCTGTGTGCTTTCAACACTGTTCTGTTGTGAATGGTCAGAAAGGGAAAAAAACATCTCATAAATCCCTTTCCATCCCGCTGGGCGTGTGGTGTTACATACTGGGAGATCAGAGTGCCGTGGAGGGGGTGGACTGGGACAGCCTGAGGGGACAGACGTACCTGTGGAGGAGAAGGAGGAGGTGGCACCTCCTGCCCGCTGGCCCTGCCTAGTAAAGGTGGCAGTCTATAGGGCTCGGGTCGCATCAGGCCAGGATTGCCGTTGCCATGGCAGCCCTATCCTCCCACTCTGAGAGCCCTCTCTCCACAGCTAAGTACCGCCACCGGTAAAACTAGAATGAGAAGAAAACGAGTTTCACAGGTACCTCAACATGGTGACCAAAGACCAGGCAGGGGTAATCCCAGCCAGGGATTGTCCTCTGTGTTGGAGTTCAGTCATTTCATCAACTTATTGAAGTATTTGTAGAAATTGCTAAGCCAGACGTGACTGCACCGCTTTGACAAGATCATTACATTCATTCTCATGTATGTAAATCTGGTCCCGCGAGACACAGCATTACCATAAATGTAACTTACGCCTAGCAATTATCAGTCTCCAAGACGGTTTCCACACATCTCAACATGAATGGCAGCAGATGATGTGTGGTGAGATATAGGTTGGTACAGGGACGTGCACAGACATTTGGAGCGGCTGTTCCTCTAACCTGAAAAAAGCCCCCCCCCCCCCCATTTTAGGTGTTACTCATCAGCATGTACCAGAATGGTGTAAAATATGGTCATTTAACTAACCACAAAAAATAATTTTAAATTAGTAAATTGTTTTACTTTTTGAAGACGAATACAATTTAAAAAACTGCACACTGTTGATGCAAGTTAACACATTATTGTGGATATAGTTTCTTGTAGTTAGTTTAAGCATCAATTTGATTTTATGTCTTGAGCTTCACACTCCCATCTATCAATTTGATTGTAAAAGACGTATACCTGCATGGTTATCACACCGTTTCAACATGGCACAATGGTCCTTCATTTAATTACTTGTTATAGACAGCAGAAGCTGTAAGGCATTCAAACTTTGAAGAAACATTTTTTAAACCAAAAAAGTGAAAACCACAATATTCAAACTTCAAACATACACTTTTTGAACTCGATGAGTTGATGTATACATCATGTAAAGTAAAAATGTAAAAGTAGATTTAGCAAATTCAAGTCATGGAAATGTAATATAGTTCACTGTATCATACAACCAAGTATTTGCTTGTATTCATATCTCATATCTCCATGAATGAATAACACAGAATGTCTGGATTACAATAATAAACATTTCTGTCCATTACATTTCCAGAGACAATAATATAAAAACAGTGCCAGGCAAAATGCTATCCTTCTCAATCCAATTCCATTTTATTCCATTTTGCAAGAATAAGTACAATTCTAGGTGATAGCAGCCAAGATGTTATCCTTCAGGAACATATTGCTGTGTATAAAATCATACAATGTAAAAGCTTACAAATGATAACAGAGCTGAGTCAGCCAATAAACACCATGTTTCCATTTCTTCCGGTCTGGTTCGCACATGACACGTAGCTTCATATTGACTGCAAACAATATCTAATCTAGCATGATTCAACCGTCAAAACCATCAGATCCCCGTATCTCTAAAGAACGCACACTTAATGTGATGGTCGTAACCGAGGAGTTATCTTGCATTCAGCCTGCTGCCTATATGTTAGCTAGCTAGCTAAGATTGGTTCATGTGATAGCATAATATAAGGCAATATTGCACGATATGATGCAAACGTGACAAGCTGCACATTGTTCGGAAGCATATGT